CCTTTTTCTTTCTTTGTCCCTGTCCTGTCTTTCTGCTCTGATTTGTAAAATCCTTAATGAAATGCTGGAGATTTAGACTTGTGGGGCAGCCCTGCTTTCACTTAGGGAGGGGCAGGAGTTCATCTCCTCTTCTCTCTTCTGGAGGGCTCCTATTTATCTGCTTCAGTGGTTTTTCTGTTTTCTTTCTTTCTTCCTTGTTTTGACAACCGGACACTTTCTTAGAATGAAATCTTGTATTCACTGTATAAACAGGTAAAAGTGAAGTTATGCAGATTAGAGAGGGAGGAAGACCCAGGAGCCCTGCCTGTAGGCCTCCCCTCCCCCTGACTCCCCTGGGTGGCTTCTGAGGCACACCTGAGGCATCTTGGGGTTTCCCCAAACCACAGTAGAAAGCTAACCTGACTTGCTAAGAAACTTGAGGTTTAACAAAGACAAGTGTTGTCCCCAAGGCCCACAGCTCCTGTCTCCCAGCCCAGGGTTCTTTCTGCAGAGCTGGACTGCTGCTCTCCTGGCCCCTGGCTGCTCTTGTGATAGGCTTTGTGCGGGGTACAGTGCCCTAAGAGGCCCCGAGACAGGCGACCTGTTCCTGAACCTTGACTCTGTCGGCAGCTGGGAGACCCTGAATAAATTACAGCTTCTCTGAACTGCAGTTGCTTCACTGTAGACTGCAGATAGGATTGGATGACATGGTGTACAGAAAGCAAGGAGGGTGTTGTGACTACCCAGCACTTTGTAGGGGCCCTACAGGTGGCAACTCTTTTTATTAACTGAGCTAGTGAAAAGGGGCCTGTGGTCAGATGGACTGAGGATGATGGAGAAGGCAGTTTGAAAGGCAGCACTGAGTGAGAGGATTGCAGGTTAAATTGCTTGAGCTTGAGTTCTGGGCCCCTCAGTTCTTCCCACTTTCTGTGCAGAGGGAAGGTCATAACCTTGGCTGTGAATTCTCAAACTTGGTGTACATTTGAGGGTCAAGTGTGGGGAGACACATCCCCAGCTGGAGCCCAGTGTTGCCTAAGTCATTCCTAATATCTCCCATCTCTTGACATGAGAGGCGTCAGGAGGCTGGGCAGGGAGGAAATGGGTGCTGGGCTCATGTTCCCCTGTACTGACCCCTTACCCCCACCCCCTCGTGGCTGATCTTGCAGCTGTTGTAACGTTCCTATTACCACATACTCCGATTCTTTGATAATGATGCTGAAGTTCTCTTCTCAGCTAAGCCCAGTCATAGGCCTGAGGATAAAGGGCATTGTGTGCTTTCCTTGCCTTTGGGGTCCCCAATGCCCCTTGGTCTGCAAGAGCCACCTGTGTCAGAAAGGAAGGAGCCCCTCCTGGGATCTGGTAGAGCCCACTCTGTAGGGGATCCCTGGGGGTAGTTCCAGGCTCATGTGACTCCAGATAACAAGTGATGATGGCCTCTTCCTGCACATCTGATCTGGATTAAATGTTGTTTTCTACTTTTGGAAATAGCATGCTGCGTGAGGGGGAAAACTCTAGGAGAAGATAGAAGCTATTCTGTGTGTGTCAGTAACCCATTGTTTGGTCCATTGGGTAAGAACTTTAAAATATTATTTAATCCTCAAAAAAGTCCTGGCAGGCTGTTTTTAAAATACACATTTATATATATGTAAGTTATATATGTATGTGTGTACTTATATGTACGTATGCTATATAATTTTAATAGAGGAAAGAGGCAGGGAAGAGGAGGGTGGCTTTTCAGTGATTCCTCCTTGTTGGCATAAAACCCAAGAGTAAGTTTTGGCAGTGTTAGTAGGCATGCAGGCGGAAGGTGACAGGCAGGTGACAAGTCGATGGATATGTATTTTTTATGTGCCAGCCTTGTGCCAGGTGCCCTGTAGCTACTAAGTCCTAAGAGATACTGTCTCTGACCTCAAGCTGCTTAAAATTGAGGTCAGAAGTAGAGATTGCAACCCATAAAACTCTTAGATGAAAATCCGGGGGCAGTTTTGTGGGGTAGATGTGATCAAAGAGAGACTGTGAAGATAGAATTTGGTTAGCAGAGGAGGCTAAGAGATGTTCCAGCCACTGGGTATTTGTAGTGGCAGAGAGGGTGCACAGAAAGCCCAGGAGCAGGAATGGGTGTGATGGGTGCAGAATACAGTGAGATCAGGTGGAGGGAGAAGGCTCCTGGTGGAGAGCAGGGGTATGACTCTAAGGCATAAAAACGCTAGTTTCCAAAGAATCTTGAAAGGCAGGCTGAGGCCTTTAACTTGACAAGTAACTATCATATATGGAGAAAGAACTATCATATATGGGGATATAATGCGATTAGAACAGAGAGATAACCAAATGGGTGGGAGGCTGTTGCAATGGTGTGGGGCCCAATGCTCAGTCAAGGTCCAGTGACATGCTATTATTTCTGTGTCACAGATGAGGAAATGGAGACTCAGATACAGAACCATGTGTTTAAGTCTCAGTGACCAGCATGTAACAAGGCAGCAATGCCTTGGAATGGATCTTACTGACACATACTTGAGGTTTTCCCCTTCTGTGTGCGTCTCCAGATGACCTTGGAAGAAAGGACACTCAGCAAAAGCTTATTAACTTTCCTTTCCAGAGGAAGACAGGTTCCTGCTTTTTAGTAAGAATTGTAGAGATCTTATTGGTAGAGGAACCTGAGGAGGCTGATGAGAAGCCTGAGTGTTGATGTTTGACCAAGGGAACATTTGTCTCAAACTTTAGAAATGATGGGTAAGTCCAGGCTGCTGAACTCTGCTGAAGTTAATTATTTATTCAGTTAAAATTAATGCAATTTCTGTTAAGTGCCTACTATGTGTTAAGTACTCAGGGACTATGTGGGATCAATTAATTCATGACAACTACAGTACTGAATTTTAATTGCAAGGGACAAAGCCAGCTCTGGCTAATGAACAAAATGACTGCATTGGGAGGATCCTGTTCAACTCACTGAGAGGATACTGTGGAAGATCTGCAGACCCTGCTGAAAGCCAGGGGTCACCCTGGACAGGAAGGAGGGTGGCTCTGTTGCATGCTGCCATCGGTTGGCTCAGCTCTATTCACTTCAGACTCCTCTCACAAGTGACATTCCTCTGGGTGCTCAGGTCACCATTGATGGCCTCCCCAGAATCACATGGGATGTGATTTAGAGGAAGATTTATTGAATGGACAGACAGACACCTCCCCCTCAAACACACATAAAGAATCTACTTTAGAAGATACATAAGGCAATTCTGAACCACCAGGAGTTTATCATTAGAAAAAATAGATAAATAAAGGAATAAAAAATAATAGGCTGTGGCGGTTGCTGTGTAAGCGTTGTACAAAGTGCTTAGGGAGGTTGTAAATTTTGCATGGGGGAGGCATGTGTCAGGTAAGGTACACAAAGGTTGTCTGAACCAAGTTTTAAGGGCAGAGTAAAATTTTGCCAGTTGGACAAACGCCCTTCAGGAAGAAGCCCTTGGGTGACAGTAGTGATGTGAAAAAGAATGTGTGCAGGAAATACAAGGAATTCTAAATGTGTAGACCATCAATGTGGGTGGGGCTGGATCTTAAAGGGCCCTGTGTGTTCTCGTAGGCATTTTGGGAGTTATAATTCTAGCAGATGAGTGGTCATTAAATAACTTTAGGTGGCAGAGGGATGTGATCAGTTTCGTTTTAGGAAGATTTTTGTGGAGGTATTAGATCCTACTCCCTTCAAAGTGCCTATTAATCTAGGGATGCTGGTTTTTGCAGAGCAGCCAGAGAGTGAGATGCTGCAAGAGACAGTCACGAGACTTCTCCAAGGTTGGAGAACCCGATATATCTATGGGAAATCCCAGTGACTCCTTGTGTGTGTGTAGGGGGATGGTAGTGGGTACAGGAAAAAGGCTCCTGGTGGTCTCTTTGCCTGTGGAGTTCTGAGTGTTTGGGTGACGTGTCTTGGGCCATAGGCTGCTGAAGGTTGTGCAGAAGCAGGCATAGGGGATTCCCCTGCGCCACCTGCACCCTCAGTATCCAGTTTGCTCTTTGTGTTTATAAGTTTGCAGTGTGCAGTTCAGCAGTGGACTGGGGAGAACAATCCCGAAGAATGTAGAAATAGCCCGGGCCCTTGTTGCGGGGTGGGAATGTAATCATTTCCTTAGCCATTTGGTGATTCTGCAGAGGAAGGTGAATAAAATTGAGAAATCTTGGGTCCCCAGAGGTTGCTGGGGCCGGGGAAGGGAGGAGAGTTTCCTTTTTCCTTTTGAACAATAGCTGACAGGGGACAGCGTAGCACCATTTCCTTTGTAATAGGTGGTGTCTAAAAACAGGAAAATTTTCTTTACTCCAGCTATGAGAATCCAAAGTTCATGCTTTGGAGGAACTGTAGCTAGAATTTTCTCAAAGGGTCCAGAACCAGTAGATGGGTTAGATAGAATCTGCTTGTCGTTATGTGGTAGCTGGGTGGCTTTTGGCCAAGTTACTAAGCCTTCGTATGTTTTAGGTTCGACTAGAGTGAGTTGTTCAAATGCCATTATTCATACCGTCACTGGCAGTAGCAACAAGACCTAGCACTGGGCTGGGGGTGCATCTCAGTGGTAGAGTGCTCCCCTGGCATGGGTGAGGCTCCTGTTTGGTTCCCTACCTGGGTTCGGTTATCCCATCTGGGTTTGATTCCCCAGCACCAGAAAAGTAGCAAATCATCAAAATAGCAAAAACCCCTAGCATTTCAGTGTGTCAGGCCTGTGCAAAAGTGTTTTATATCCCTAAATTCTGTGAGTTAGGTATTGTTATTATCAGCATCTAACCGATAAGGCAACCTATGCCTAACAGGATGAGTAGCTTACTTGTTTTTCCCTTCTCCCTGTCTGTCATCCCCTGCAAAAAGTCAGTAGATTTCAGATAGTACTACACCAGAGTTTTAAGACCTCATAGAGCTGCTGTAAGTTTTAAAGGAAATGATGTATAACAAGCTTAACATAGCTCTTGGGCCTTAGTGAGCATTCAGTGTTCACTACTTACTGTGTTTTTCTTCTCACTCGGCTCCTTTTTGTCTTTTATAGAAGCAGCTGACACAGGATGATGATGCCGACGAGGTGGAGATCGCTATTGACAACACAGCTTTCATGGATGAGTTCTTTTCTGAGGTGGGCAACCTTCCTGCATTTTTTGGGGGGAGGGGGTGAATATACATAAGGAAACACAGCTTCCTCAGTAAGAGTAAAAAATCTGGGCTCTTTCAGGGGTGGCAGGCAGTCTTTTGTTGGGGTGAGAGGGCTGAAAATGTTAGAGGGGAGTCTCCAGTTCTTGTGAGAAACTGGAATCTTCGAGTCATCAGAGGGTAAATTACATGTAATTGAGGATATGCTTTTAAAATTGTATGCTACATGACAGCATTTTAATGATATCCTTTCTTGCCAAAGCACATAATTTAAATACATCAACCATAGGCTCACAGCCATGAGTGTTAAAATTGAATTTCATCTCGAGGCCTGATTCTGATAAATCAAATTTGTTGTCTCTAAACATTTTTATGGTCCCTTTGACCATAAAATTAATTTAATTAATTTTAGCAGTAACAGAGAAACCAAGAATCTAGCAGTTTATTTTTGTAAAGTTTAACAGGGGCCAAAATGGGTTGCCCATGTCTACAAATTCACCTGCTTGTTGATCTTGAAGGCCTTATAGGGATGTTGTTAGGTAGTGATGGAAAAGCAGTGGCTTTGGAGCCAAATGAACTTGGGCTCAAATGTCAGTCTGCTTCTGTCCAACTGTTGATTTTGTGAGCTTTCCTTAACATGCTGAACCCTGGTTGGAGTCTGTCCTCATCTATAAATTGACATTGATAATATCATAATTCCTTATAGGGTTATCATAACAATTGAGATAATGCTTAGAAAACATCCAGAGTATCATCAGGCCTATGTGTGCTCAATGAATAGTATGTTAAAAAAGAAGAGGGAAAAAAACCCAACAAACCAGAAAGCTTATTGTTGCTGAAGTTTCTGCCATTGTATAATGGTTTCTTTATTTAGGTCCCCCCCACTCACCCCCCAAAAGAAAAGAAGAGGCATTGTGTTTTTTTTTGCAGGGAAAATTTGGGCACTGCCCATCATCTGGATTGTGGATGTGGAAACGTAGCTTCCAGATTTCCTCTAAATGCAGTGGAGTGGGGCTTGACAGTCATGCCCATTCATCTGCTAGAGTAATAACCAGGCTCAAGAGCAAACTTGAGCATGTATGTGCTGACCTGATTGGGAAGTGTGCCGTAAACCTCCACAGCTCCACACCCAACTTGTGGGTGGGTCTGTCCCTTTGGTCGAGGAAGTCATGGTGAGATCAAACAACGCTGGGCTTTTGTGAATCCAGTGTTATTCCACTTGTGGATCATGGAGGGCAAATGTCCTCTGTTCATTGGGGGTTGGGTGAGAGGAGTAGCCTTCAGGAGACATTTGCAGATTCTGTAGTTTGTCCCTAATTCTTGCCCTGGAGAGCCACACATATTAAAGAATGTCTTCCCTAAGATGAAGAATCTCCTCTAGTAACTTCTTGCTCTTTCAGTGGGTGGGTGGGTCCCTGGGAGTCAGTGTTCCTTATGAGGTGGGAAGATGGTGGGCTTTGACTTGTGAGGCATGGTTGGAGTCTGTCCTCAAGCATTTTGTAGCAGTGTGACCTTGGTTAAGATACTTAACCCGTTTTAGCTTTAGTTTCCTGCTCTGGAAGTCCCTTGACTTGTCAGCCTGTCCCTCTCAAGGCTGTTGGGAGTCACATGAGCTCACAAATCTGGCAAACATTCTCTGGACAGAAAAGTGCCCCATGTGGAAGAAAGGTGTTTGGAAGAGGCCCCTGAGAGAGGTAGTGTGACCACCTCCAGGGCTGTTTGGATTCCTGTTGCTTTCTTTGTGTTAAATGCTTTTTGATCACTTAGGAGAAAAAAAACAAAAACAAAAAACAAGGAAACCTCATCATATTTAGGGCAGAGAAGGGGACTGCGTGGTGAGGTGAAAAGAGCACTGTGTGTCATGAACTGTGTGATATTGGTCATGTTCCATAAGGTCTCCATGTCTCAGCGGGTTTATCTGTGAAACAGAAAAATATTCCAAGCTTTGTTGGGCATGAGAAGAGCTGACACTGGGAAAGAGCTTAGAATGGGGTTAGGCAGTGTTGCTTCCCTCCTTTCTCATTTGCAAGAGCCCAGAGAGGAAAGATGCTGGGGGGTGGGGGTGGCACAGAGGCGAGAGGGAATGGTCACTGGAAGAGATCCTGCAGGCAGTGGTGAACAGATCCTGCTCTAAATCTCAGCTCTGCCCATTGGAAAAGTTGTGTAGCTACTTTAAACTCCAGTTTTCTCTCAAATGGGAATAGTACTGCAATCTACTAGTTGTTATGAATATAAAATGAGAAAGTATCTGGATGTACCCAGCACAGTGCCACCAAATTTTAGTCCTCATCATCCTTTTGTCCCCATATACTCATGAGTAAGCAGACCATAGAGTTCATTTTATAGAGCATGGCTTGGAAATATCCTTCATATTGGGATAAAATACTTTGGATAATAGGGATTTGGGGAAGTGAAGGAGTTTCCCTCTGTGTATGACTGAGGAACCTGCCCAGTGTACCTTAGTTAGACATAGCTAACAAAGATAGCACTCTTGTGATAGACTTTGCTTTTTGGATTGGTGCCAACAGGACACCTTTGATTAGGTCCTTTGCTGAGAACTCATAGTGCAAGTCATGGGTTGGTCATAGAGGCACATGCAAGATGCAGATGAAATCATGGACCTCAAAATATATTTTCAGAATGTGCTTTGCAGTGTAAAATTTGAATGGCTTCTCTGTCTTCTCAGTTGTTAAAGAATTGGCCCTTGGGTTTTCAGGCTACTTTGGCCAATCAACCCAGGCCTCGTAAATTATAAACCCTGGACTTTGTCTAATCTGCAGTTTTCTGTATTTCCCGTGGTCGTTTGCTCAGTTGGCAGAGAAAGCAAAGTTTTGGAGGAAATAGACCTGCCTCTGAAGGCAGCGGTTTATTGTTCTGTGTTCATCCAACCATGCTGACCACCTCCTGATGGTGTAGTAGGTGCTGGGGTGCAGTATTCTGTGTGACAGGTCCTTGCTCTCTGGTGTGTTTCTACCTGGTGAGGGTGATAGAAATTTTAAAAAAGTTATCATATTGTAGTGGAAATATCAAAAAGACATTGTGGGAGCACAGAAGAAGGAGTGTGGCCTTCTGCCTGGAGGAAGGTGGGCTTCTGGGGCTCTTATCTAGACTTGCACCTCAGATCTGCCTGGGAGCTTATACACACCCATGCCCGATTCATAGAGACTGGGATGGCTCAGACTTGGATTTTTCATTTCTTGCATCTGATTTTGCCACCTACTGCAGCAACGGACAACTGCAGAGTGGTGGGGAGACTTGGAGGGTTGTAAGTAAGGAAATAATGGGATCGGAGTGTGTTTTAGACAAATCAATCTATGGCAGTTTGTGGAGGAAAGGAAACTCCAAAAACAGAAATACCAGCAGATTGGCCAATGCAGCAAAGCATGGGGAAAAGAGTCGGGCTTTGGTCTGGATCTGTCAATCTGAGCAGTAGCATGGGGCATCATTTAGGGATGTTTTGACTAACTGTGGCTTAAGCAGTAAAGAGATGTAATTATTTCACGCATGAAGAAGTTTCCTATTAGGGATGTACTGGGGCTTCAGGCCAGCATCTCTGTGATCCTTTGGGATTTTCCCTTAGGGTTAAGAGAACAAGTCTGTTCTGATTATCATTGCTTTATAACAAACTACCCCAGTGTTTAGTGGTGTAAAACAACTATTTTGTTATGCTGACAGATCCTTTTGATTGGGTATTTGTCTAGGGCACAGTGGGTGGTGTATCTCTGTTCTACAATACGTGGAGCATTGGTTGGGAAGAATTGAACTACCAGAGGCTAGAATCTAATAGAAACTTCAGTATTCTAATAGTGGGTGCCTGGACTGGGGTGACCAAAAAGAAAAGCTCAGTAGAAACTGTCAACCAAAGCCCTCAACCGTGGCCTCTGTGTCTAGTGTTCCTCATAGCATGGAGCACTCAGGGTTGCTGGACTTGTGACATGGGGTTCAGGGATGCAGGGCCAGTGTTCTGGCAATGAAACTTACGTAGCGCAGTCACAAGCCTGCCAGATTTGAGAGAGAAACCCAGGGATCCTACCTCTCAATGGGAAGAGCATTAAGGAATTTGTGCCCCTGTATAAAACTACCCAAGAGTCAAAGCTCTGTTTGACATCACCCAGCGTCAGCATCACTAGCAAAAAAAAAAAATGGGAATTGCTAGAAAAGTCTAAGAATTCTTTTTATCAGGGAGGAGAGCTATCTAATGGTCAAACTGACTTCCTCTGTGGCTTACTCGCTATCACTGGGTCATGTGGTCATGACCATCCCTAGTTGGAAGGGTGCCAGGAAAATATGTACTTAGTAAAGGGATAAGATTACTAGGATCTCTGTAGTGCAGGTCAAGATCCATCATCTTGGGCTGGCAGCATAGCGGCCAAAACAGAATCAGAATTCTGTTAAAAAGAAAAAGAACAGCAGTCGAGGGGCTCGCTCTTTGGTGGGTCAAAGTACTTGTCTTGGAACACAGTGTGGGATGCAGAAAGTCTCTGTGATGAAGAGTGTTTGGGATTCCTGTTCTTCTCTCTTAGAAATTTAAAATGCACATTAACTTTTCAAAGCCTCCATGAAGTCCTGTTGTGAGGAAACCTGCTCACCTTGGCTAGCCCAGCATTGAGTTTTTCACCCTTTGTGACATGGAACTTCTGTTAACAAGGATGAATGAATACACTTTGGAAAATGCTATTAGAGAGTTTTCTTTTTTGGATTCTATCTTAGCTTGGGCTGCTGTCACAAAGTACCATAGACTGTGTGGTTTATAAAGAAAAGGAAGAAATAAATTTATTTTCCACAGTTCTCGAGCCTGGAAGTGTGAGCTCAAGGTGTCAGCATGACTGGACTCTGATGAGGGCCCTCTTCTAGACTGTGGACTGCTGACTTCTTGTTGTATCCTCACGTGATAGAGAGCAAAGCTAGCTTTGGCTTCTTCTTATAAGGTCTCACTCATGAGGGCTCCACTCTCATTACCTAATTACCTCCCCCTCCCCATATATG